AAGCATTGCCAATGCCAAGGTGATAGCACAGACAACGCGCATCATTGCAAGAAGCAACAACAGCAACTCGTTTAAACTCAGAGTTTGAAACAAAATACAAACTAAACCAAAACGAAGCAGCAGCAACAGCAAGCAGCATTTTAAATTTACAATAGTGGCAAAAATACAAAAACATTTGTAACAATAGCGGCATCTTCAATTTACCTTGACTCTAGCACCACTACTTTTTTCAAACGCAGTTACAACGGCGACGTCAACGCCAACGACTTCAGTGTCATTTTACGAAGAAAGAAAATCTCTTGAACGAGCGAGCTATTGAGCAACGTAGCCGAGTTTTGATCGTTTTTTTTTCTTTGGCGAGCGCACGAACGAGCGAGCGTAATAAAAAGTCTTTCTTTTTTCCCCCATTTATTGAAAACTCCAGTGTAAAAGTATATGATCTTATATAACTACATATTAGCTTGAAGAATACTTTAGTTATACGGTCACCTTCCTACGGTCAAGTTCGCTTTCCTTCCATTAATTGAATAAAAAAGAAATAACTAACCAAAAAGAAACTGTAACTAAAAAATTTTTACTTAAAGGAGACCCTAAAACATTATATATTAGAAACAAAAAAATTGAGTGCTAAAATATTTGGATTATTCAAACCAGGAATTTTATATCCTCTTATACAAAGTGCGAAAATTCTTAATAAAAAGAATTAATTTTATTTAAAGAGAAAAAAACAAGTGCATTAAAAGCAGTGTTTTTTTTGAAACAAACAATTAAATAAAATTATTTAACAAAAAAAGTGCAATAAATAATTTTTAACAAATTTGTTCAATCTGATCAATGGTGCTGCAAAGGATTTAATAACAATAACAGCCACAACAATAAACTGGATTATTTTACAAAAAGTGGAAATTTTTTAAAAAAATTTATAAAAAAGTGAGTGTTTTGAAAAATACTAAATAATTTAAAAAAATTTTAATTTAAAAACATAAACTATTTAATGTTATTAAGCTTAAAGCAACAGGAACTTCAAAATGAAAATTTATAAAAAGTTTACGAAAATAACTAACAGGGCGTATGAGTGTTTTGTAATTCAAATATAATTTGTTGTTTAAGGATAATTTGTGTTTATAAGAAAATCTTTTAAAGATTTGTGTATTATTTATGGAAATATAAATCTTTTGAAAAAGAATTGTATAAAAATATATTGACTTATCTTACCAGACCTGGATTTGCTGTAGAAAATTTTGAAAAAAAGTGGAAATAAATTATAAAAAATTTGAAAAAAATGAAAGGCAAAAATTAAAAATTTTTATGAGTTTACAATATAAAGTGTTCAAATAATTCAAATAATTAAATTTTTGAAAAATATATTTAAATCAAAACTTATTTATTTTTCATAAAAAGGACGAAATGTGAATCTGTTTATTACTTTGAAATAGTTTATTAGTTTTTTAGTTTTTCTAATAAATTTTTTCAGATTTTTTGTTATAAAATATTCTCAAAGAATCTAATTCTTTCTTCATAAAACAGTTGTGAAACTTTGTAAAACTTTTTAAGTTTTTTGAGAATTTTTGAAAAAAAAAACGATTTTCAAAAAAAAAAAAAAAAAAAAAAAAAAATAATAAAATTTTTAAACAAGTTTATACTTTTAAAAGTATCTTATAAAGCAGTTATAACCAAAGCTTAAAATTTTACATTTTTTAATTATATTTTAAAAGTGGAATTTATCTCTGCCACATTCTAATTTAATTTCGCCTAAACAGTTCAAAAGCTTTATAATGATTTGACAGACAATATAAAATATATTTCACTGAATTTGTCATAATAGTTTACTTTATAAAATCTACATTTTAAGTCTGTGTACTTGACAAAAAATCGAGTAAGTTTTAGCAAAAACTGTTGTTAAAGTTCACAGAATATTTTATCCTTTAATTGCTTGAACATTTCAAATACATATTATTTTACCCGAATATTTTAAGAATTAAATTTCCAAATTACAAAAAATTTTCTTTACATTTTTACATTCGAGAATATTTCAGGAATTTTCTTTCTAGTATTATTTTCTTATAAGATTAAAACATTAATTATATGAATTAAAACTGTTTTAAATTACAAAAAACTTATTCTTTTGAAAATTTGAGAGAAATTTATTAAATTCAGGAATATTCCGGGAATTCTCTTTCTAAAATTAAATTCTAACAGAAACTTTAACCAATTTGTTGTTGTTAAAGTTCACAGAATATTTTATCCTTTAATTGCTTGAACATTTCAAATACATATTATTTTACCCGAATATTTTAAGAATTAATTTTCCAAATTACAAAAAATTTTCTTTACATTTTTACATTCGAGAATATTTCAGGAATTTTCTTTCTAGTATTATTTTCTTATAAGATTAAAACATTAATTATATGAATTAAAACTGTTTTAAATTACAAAAAACTTATTCTTTTGAAAATTTGAGAGAAATTTATTAAATTCAGGAATATTCCGGGAATTCTCTTTCTAAAATTAAATTCTAACAGAAACTTTAACCAATTTGTTAGAACATTTTTACATTCGAGAATATTTCAGGAGTTTTCTTTATAGTATTCTTTTCTTATAAGATTAAAACATTAATTATAAGAATTAAAACTGTTTCAAATTACAAAAAAAAAACAACATATTACTTTCAAAATTTTAGAGGAATTTATTAAATTCAGAAATATTCCGGGAATTCTCTTCCTAAAATTAAATTCTAACAGAAACTTTAATAGATTTGTTTGAACGTTTTTACATTCGAGAATATCGGATAAGATTAAAACAATAATTATACGAATTAAAACTGTTTCAAATTAGAAAAAACTTATGCCTTGAAAAATTTAAGAGAAATTTATTCAGTTCGGGAATATTCCGGGAGTTCTCTTTCAAATATTAAATTCTAACAGAAAATTTTGTAATGATATATTTCCAACAATATGTTTCTAATTGTTTTATGATTTCTTTCATTTCTAAAGTTTTTTTTTAATAATTCAAAAAGTTGTAAACAGTTTTAAAAATGTCATTAACCATTCATGATTATTCCTAGAAATCATTTTCCCATTATGTTTTTTAAAAAAACTCTTTTTATTGTTCTATTACTGTTTGAAATATTCCTAAAAACTTTATTTATAAAAAGTTTTCGCTTTGTATTTGTATAAAATATTTTCAAGAATATTCCATGAATACGTTTTCTCGTTTTTTATACCCTACACCACCATAATTGGGAGGGTATTATGTGTTTGTGCTGATATTTATAATACCCAAAAATATTGGTCCTACACTCACCTTAAAGTATAACTATCGGCTCAGAATCACCTTCTCGATTTAGCTATGTCCGTCTGTCCGTCCTTCAGTCTGTCCGTCTGTCTGTTCATCTGTTTGTCCGTCTGTGTGTCCATGTAAACCTCGTGTCCACTCTACAGGTCGCAATTTTCAATATATTTTGATGAAATTTAGCACATGCTCTTCTTTTGGTCCAAGGTCGAAGAATGATTGAAATCGGTCTACCGTATAGCCCCCGTACCCCCCGAATAGGGCTTTTTTGCTCATAAATATGTTTAAAAAATTGGCAAAACTTAGTTTTATATATGTCTTAATAATACTGCTGATTTTCGTAATTACCGGTCTTCATTTTACCCTATCCCCCTGTAAAGTCCCCTTCAGAAAATGACTTTATGGTCGAAATACACTTATAAACCCTAACATCACGATGATATTCTGCATAAATAACTGAATTGGACGTAAATCCCTGTACCAAATTTATAAGAATAGGACCATATTATTCCAAGAACAAATTTTCTAATTATTCTGTTAAAAAAAATCGCGAATATTTCGGGAATATTGTTCGTATTAGTAGTTAGTGAAATAAATTTATCTATTTTGAATATTGACAATAAAAATTCTTAAGAAATAAGTTTAAAATTTTTATTTAAGTTAAACAATTTTAAGAATATTACAAAAATCCGTCTACTCACTCTTCTATAATTTCCTAAAAAAAAAGAGAAAGAAATAAATTAACAATTTTCAAAATTAAAAATAAAATAGAAAAATTTTAAAATTAATTGATATAAAAAACATTTTAAACAAAATTTACACAAATTTCCATAAAAAATACAAAAAAACTTTGATATTTTCTAAAACTTTTTACCAAAAAAACAAAAGATTTAAGACACAAGTCTTAAAAACATCTTAAGTCAATAATTTTTGTAAAAAATTCAACTTATTTTTATAAAAAAGTAGAGTTTAAATTGAAAATTAAGGGGGTTTTTTTAAATTTTATTACAAATTTTCCTTAAAATTATGAAAAATTTACAAATTTTATAAAATTTTCTATGTGAAACAAAAGACTTAAGACACAAGAGTTAGAAAAGGATTTTGATCACAACTTTATTAAAAATTTTCATTTAAATTACGAAAAATTTACAAATTTTATAAAATTTTCTATGTTAAACAAAAGACTTTAGACACATGAGTTGGAAAAGGATTTTGATCAAAACTTTATTAAAAATTTTAATTTAAATTATGAAAATTTTCCAAATTTTATAAAATTTGGTATGTTAAACAAAAGACTTAAGACACAAGAGTAAGAAAAGGATTTTGATAAAAACTTTATTAAAAATTTTAATTTAAATTATGAAAAATTTACAAATTTTATAAGATTTTCTATGCAAAACAAAAGACTTAAGACACAAGATTTAGAAAAGGATTTTGATAACAATTTTATAAAAAAATTTCATATAAATTACGAAAATTTATAATTTTATTAAATTTTGTATGTTAAACAAAAGACTTAAGACACAAGAGTTAGAAAAGGATTTTGATCAAAACTTTACTAAAAAATTTCCAAAAATTATAAAATTTTCTATGCAAATCAAAAGACTTAAGACACAGGGGTTAGAAAAGGATTTTGATAAAAAATTTATTAAAAATTTTCATTTAAATTACTAAAAGTTCCAAATTTTCTAAAATTTTGTATATTAAACAAAAGACTTAAGACACAAGAGTTAGAAAATGATTTTGATAAAAATTTTATTAAAAATTTTCATTTAAATTACGAAAAATTTACAAATTTTATAAAATTTTCTATGTTAAACAAAAGACTTAAGACACAAGAGTTAAAAATATTGAATTTAAAATTTTTCTAAAATGTTTTCCATTTTTATAAAAAAAACTGGAAAGCTGATACAAATGGTATAAACAGTTTCTCTTTTTAATATTTTAGAATAAAAATTTTGAAAAAATACGAATTTGTTAGGAAAAATTTACAAAAATTGAAATCAAAAGTTTTGTAAAAGTTTAAATAGAAAATTAAAGATTTGTTACAAATATAATAAAACAAAAGGTCTGTCCTAATTTGGGCAAATGGTTTTGTGTAAAATCTTATGAAAATTGTAAATGCGTAACTGGATTTGGGATCTTATTTGGCAATTTTTTTTACTTTGTTCTAGATCGAATTTATTGAGTTTAATTAAAAATATTTCAAATTTTGCAAATTTTTCCCATCAAATTTTTTAAACGAAATAATATTTCAAATACTACTTCAACACTTTAACTTATAAATTATAACCTAACAACAAGTTCCCACAATATCTCACCTTCAGAACATAAAATATAAAATTATAACACTTAATTCTATGATCACATGTTCCTGTCATTATATAACTTTCAACAATTGACTAATCCTCTAAGTTTATAATAATAAATAATATTTTATAACAATGAAACATTTAAACACACTTAACAAACAAGACAGCCAGCAAGATCTATTGTTAAATGCAATTTTCTTTTAAACATGTAACAACACTTAGATCAAACAACTACTTAAATACATATATATGACAGTCTTGTAAAACACAACAGCAGGCTAAGTAAAATCTGCAACGACAAATTGTATATAGAAAAAAGTATGTGTT